CATGCAAGCACACAGACTCTCTCTCACACAACTAGGGTTGCCAGTCTTCAGGGGGGGCCTGGAGTTCTCATGGAATTGCAACTGATCTCCAGACTACAGAGATCAGTTCCCCTAGAGGAAATGGTAGTCCCCACTGAGGTTCCCACCCCTCCCCAAACTCTGCCACCTAATCTCCTGGAATTTCCAGCCCCAGAGTTGGCAACCTTACTCAGAACAGCAGCCCTGCATCTCCTCCCTCTCATCCTCACCTCTGGGCAGTAGACTTCCTAGCTTTCATTTTACTTCATTAGCAGGGAGAGGGAAATCTCCCAGTGCAACGGTGTCACTAGAAATAAGCCCAGGGCATGGGGGGCAAAATGAAAAACTGCCCATATGCATGCTTTCGCCATTGTGGTTCCTGCCTTGTGGAACAGCCTGCCCAAGGAGGTCAGGGAAGCAGTGTTCCCTCTAAGCTGAGTTACTGTGAGCTAGCTCACAGTTTTTTAGCCTCCAACTCACACACTTTTCTTAGCTCAGGAAGGATGGCACCAGAGCAAACTGATTTATGCAGTAGCCAAATCGCTCACTCACAACTTTAATGCCAGTAGCTCACCAAGTAGAATTTTTGCTCACAAGACTCCACAGCATACAGGGAGTATTGCAAGGAAGCTCACAGTCTTCTGGCCTTCTGCCAGCTATGCAAAACTGAACTATTCAAGAGCGCTCTTCTGCACAGGCAACAGGGTTGCACTGTGCAAACTGGTTCTCAAACCTACTTGGATAAAGGATTGAGACTGTGGTCTGTACTGCTGCTTATAGCTTATTGTAAGTAGGATCCTATTATATAACTTCTGAATAATTTAATGTGTCATGTTAATACCTATGCTCTGCTTCAGTTCTTTCTGGTGGTTCCAGACTTCTTAAAATCCCAATGCCTTGTTCTATTGAATGTCCCATTTTGTCGACTGTATGGACTCACTGTGCGTAATTCGCCTTGAGTCCCTGTGAGAAAGGCAAACTATAAACAATTTAAATAATTAAATAAAGTATAACAAAAATGTACAGCTTGAAACTTTAATGTAAATGTGAAAATACGCATTGGCCAGAATACCGCTTTGAATGCTGGATGCCTCTTCCCAAGTTTAATAATATTACTCATCTATTTTTCCCTTACAACAATCTCATATGGAAGGTTAGGCTGAGAGAGACACCCAGTGAGCTTCACGGCAGGATGGGAAGTGTTGGAAGAGAAGGACTTGGCGCTGTCCTTTTGCCTTAGTCTTCAGGAGGTTACCGTAGATTTGGTCAGAAAGACAGGTGAGGACACAGACAGCATCCTTTCCTTCCTGTTATCTGATCCTATCCCCTTTGAAACAGAATGCTATATTTAACATTCCAGCTTGACACCTCTCTCACACACTTCCTCTTTCGCACACCAAGAAGAAGCACATTTATCTCCATCTTTGAACAATGGATGCAGGGGCACACTTCCCTGCATCCATACCCACCCTAGGTAGTTATAATAGATTCTGTCTCTGTCTCTCATCTATAGAATGCAGTTCCATATAATAAAGAACTCTTATTAGTTTTGAACCTGACTACTGGCTCTGTGTAACTTTGTGAGTCTGCTAGCACACTCAGTGTCCTGGAATACAGGCAGAGTAAGGCAACAGAGCTCGATCACAGTCAAGAGTCCAGTCCAGAGATCAAATACCAGTTTAGCAGCAGTTCATGGGTTGTTCAGGAAAGCTGAGCCAAGGCAGTCCGAGGTCATTGATCAGCAAGGTTCAGGAAGATCCGAAAAGCAGAGCTGGGGGTCAGTCCAAAGGTTACAGGAAGCAGGCAAAGTCCAAAGTTGTGGTCATCAAATTCACAGGGTTGTGACAAGTTGCTTCCATAATCTGCAGTTCTCCAGGTCTGGTTTATCAAAGCATTCCTTAACCAGCCTGATTTACAGCCATCTGCTCGGAAGTGCTCCTGCACTTACTCAGAACTGCTATCATTAAGTAGCTGGTGCCAAGCCAAGAGGCAAGCACTCTGTCTGCATGTCCTTAAGTCTTGTCGAAGCTTTTCCCTTTGCTCTCCCCCACCCACCATACTGGACTCCTGTAAGGATTACAACACAATAGAGGGGAAACACATTCTGAACTCTGCTGTGTAAAATGTTCAGTATTGTTAAGGAGGGGAGGGATGAGCTCAATAGAGAGCAGAAGCCCTGCCCTCTGGCCACTGGAGGGCCAGTAGGATTACCAAATTCCAGCAGGGGAATTTTATTTCCTGGCAGGAGCCTCGCCGCGGGGACGGCTGCACGCGCTACACCCGCCGTCGCCAGGATGTGACGCTCCGCGTCGCTCTGGCAATGGGGCTGTTTGGAGTCCCGTTGCCAGAGCGATGCAGAGCGTCACATCCTGGCGACGGCGGGTGCAGCACGTGTAGCTGTCCCCGCGGCGAGGCTCCTGCCAGGAAATACAATTCCCCTGCCGGAATTTGGTAATCCTACTGGCCAGCGTGGTGCTGTGGTTACAGCGCCAGACTTCGGTTCAAATCCCCACTCTGCCACAAAGTGCAGTCAGTCACCTTTGGCCAGTCACGGGGTTCTCATGATGTCAGCTGACAACATTACATCCAGCTGTTAAGTGCCCTCCATGCCTGAGAGGAGATAATTAAGGTTCTGTTACTTCCCACAATTTAAAAAAAAGCCTTTAGACATTTATCTGCTATTCTGGCATATTTATTGCTTTACAACTGTTGACACCTTAACTTGTTATCTAGTTTTTCACTTTGCATAACTTAAACATCATCAGGTCACATGTTAATTCACTGTTAAATCCCTGTCCATAAGTTTTAGAACCTTACCTGCCATTCCAATGTATTTGAAAAAGTGTGTTGTGCACAGAAAAGCTCATACCTTGCATAAACCTTTGTTGGTCTTAAAGGTGCCACCAGACTCTAAAAAAGGGTTCTCGTGAGAATGTGACTGTAGGAGTGTATAGATGAAATGGGAAACCAGGGACATGGCACTTACTACTACTACTA